TTGTTTCCGCCAAGAAATAAACATCACAATTCTGAAAGAGGGGACTATTGCGGGTTATACAGTTGAAATTTCGAAAAAAACAAAGTAACCAGCAAGCAATTTTGCGTTTAAAAGACTTCTAATAGCCGTCCAAACACAGGCTAGAAGTCTAAGCTAAAACAAGGGGGTTATTAAACTCGCAATTCTGAGTAAATGACGGTATTGTGAGATATACGGCCTAAACTCGCAATTGCAAAACAAGCTTCCACAGAAACAAGTTTGCCAGGGAATAATCAGTCTTATTTTTTCGCATTCAAATTAGACACATCTACGCTTTTATGTAACAGTTATGACCCGTATAGAAAGAAAAAAAAATGTAGTTGAAGCATTTTATGCAGCCGGCTACTGAGCCAAATTACATTTTTGTTGGTCTGAGTTTTGGAGATAAACTGTTTGGCCAAGATTCATGTTGGTAATGCAGACAGTATGAAGAGTTTTGAAAAAAAAAAGTGGCTTAATATTGAACAATGATTGTTAGCTATGAAAAAATAAAATAAAAACAAACTGTAACAGACAAACGGGACAGATACATTCAAGTGCAAGTTAAAAGCAGATAGACCTGGTGAGATGAATCAAATCACTGATTTGACGTCAGTTTGAACATCCTATGATTGCCGTTTTGGAATGTCTAGCATGCACGCGAGGCTGTCGCATATGGAATTAAAATGCTAATCAATGAACGAGTCATGCATACAAGCTTCCACAGTAAAGTGCTATTATAACAATAGTTTTAAATTAAAGATAAAACCTTGGACATTACAAAGAGGGTTATAAGTCTCAAATCACAAACATGGTATTTACAGGTTCACACGTGCCTAATTGTGAGGAGATAATGGTCCCATTTAATCAGAATAAAGCAAACGCACATACAGAACCTAAAAATGCAGTGCAGATTCAAATTAAATGTATTTGCACAATAAAAAAAATCATTTAGCAACAAATTATGTGATGAAAACACTACTGTACATCACTAATTGGCCAATAACAGTGATGTGCAAAACCACAATGACATTGCCATTCCAGACAACATACTCACCAAGGTATGCAAAGCAAGTAATAATATTAGCAAACAATTCTTTACATTCAGGGCTACAACGAAAAACCAAATATTTAAAAATTCAGAGAAGTCTAACACAATTAACTCCTTTAGAAATCAAATACTGAGAAGAAAAAAATAAATTTCCTAGGTAGAACATTTTCAGTCTATATGAAAGATAAAAATATAATCTGAAAATAAACACAAAAGCACAGATGTGCTTTTACACAGATGTGCATGTACAACTGCTTAAACCTAAACAAAAAAATAAATAAAACAAAACACCATGAACCAGCTTAAGATGGTTATCTGGTTTCGTTCAAAGTGGTCTAGCTTGTTTAACCCTCAGGTGCTCTTCGTTTCGGAGTCACACTTGTTATCTTCCTGGTCAAAAGTGACCGGACACATAAAAATGAAACTTTCTCCATCCCAGTAAAACCAATGCAATTTATTTTTGTTCTATAATATATATTCTTTTTAATTCAGTATTTTGAGACAATTTAAATGAATTTATTAATATTTATGCAATATTTATGGTTTATTTTTCCCATGGAAAAATATATATTATTTTCTATATATATATTATTTTTTTCAAAAAAGAAATATTAATGCAGTATTTTCCTTCAGAAAAAAAAAAAAATGTTTTGAAGAAAATTAGCACCATCTGGTTACAGTATAGAGAAAAAGCGTGTAACCACTAGATGGCATGTACAGCTCTCTATGGAGAGGCATGTGAATTCCCCAGCTGTTTTATGAACACATTTTTTTTTGTTGTTGGTGGATTTGTATAGATAGTTGAAACGATCTCAAAAACTATTTCTTATAAAAAAAAAATGACAAAAAACAAAATATTCACAATTTTTTTTTTTTTCATTTTTTTACAATTTCCCATTCATTTCCTATGGGGTAATTTTTGACCAAAGACCACAAGTGTGACTATTTTTTTAAAGACCACTTAGCATACTCAGATCATGACCTTAACTTTTTTGTGTGTTCACATACATAATGCCATAAAAGTCACCAAGTTTCGTAACATCGCGATGAAGCTGTGATTTTTAAAAATTCAAAACATACTTTTTGTAATCAAAATTTATTGGTGTGTATATGTATAAAAGTGTGTTTGTATGTGTGTGTGTGTGTGTTGGTGGGTGTGTCTGTTTTGCACTCCAGATGTTGTAGAGTGTCACCCCTTTCTTGCGGTGTACTTTTTTTTTTAGAATTGTGGCCGATTTGTAGATTGTACATACAAAATTTACAGAATTTTTTTTTGTGTGTGTCAATTTCCCATTCATTTCCTATGGGGTCGTCATTTTTGACAGAAGAGCAAAAGTGTGACTCATTTTTTTACGATCGCTTAAATTGCTCGAATCATGACCTCATGACCTTTTTGTGTGTTCACATACCCAATGCCATAAAAGTCACCAAGTTTCGTAATTTTCTGAAAAAGCTGTGATTTTTAAATATTCAAAACAGAAAATTTTTCTGTCAGAAATGACCGAAGAACACCTGAGGGTTAAGATGGTCTTGTTGCTATTCTTGCCATTGGCTAGTTGGTCTCCCAGTCTGACCACCTGAGTGCCTAAAATCTGCATTAAACCAGTAAACCAGACCAGCAAAACCATCTTAGGTTGTTTGTTCACCAAGGAAGTCATTGTTTTAAAGGGGTCCTAGTTATCAAGAGTGAACCTCATCGCATTTGTTTACTTTAAAAGTAGATGTAAGGCTCAAACAAACAGCGAGCAGTCAATGAAACCCCAAGCTGACTGCTTTGATTGAACTTCACACAGTGGCCATGGCAAATTCTGCTCTTCGGGCAGCAGTCAGAGTGAAACATTCATTTGGTCTCGGTCCAAACTGCAGCCTGAGTGTCCCAAAATTTCATTCTCTCAGCCAGCGGTGACCCTGCACTCAGTAATGAGGGGGAAAAAAAACCAGTGTACAATACAATCAATGGCGCCATTAAACACTTGAGGTCAAACCGCAATGCTCTGAAACGATGCACACCAGCATGGATCCATCTAGAACTTGTCATTCCTAATATCTGTGCAGACAACTGAGCATTAATAAATCTTTGGCTGAATGTAAATGTCCTGCTATGAGTTGGATGTGAGAACCCTTTCATCCTCCCAAGCCATTATTTTCTCCTGAGTTGAGAGCGAGCAAGACAAAAAGCAAAGTCAAAGTGGCTTAGTTGTACCCTGTGCGTTAGAAAGACGACAATACAAGAGTATCATTCGCAGGTTTGCAGAACCTGATAGCGGAGACATAATTTTCCTCAGTAGTAAAGTTTAAGACTAGCTAACACAAATGTCAACTAACTGGCTTCTAAACTTAAATTGTTACTAAACAAGTGGTCACATTAACTAAATCGAGCAAAAATGGTCCAATGCAGGTTTCTGTGTTGGCAAACGTGGCGTATTCACACATACAACAGGGATCTGTTGTGAAATATGCATGGGGAAAACTTTGGCCCTCACAAAGTCCCAGATCAATTGAATTCCTATTGAATTGACTGGATTTTGCCTGCAAATCTGAACAATGTTAAATATGACTGCAACTCAACACTGGTCAAATATGGTGAACGTGATTTCGCCAAGTACATGTACATCTTTTTTGTTGATCCTGCTGGAGTAACATTCCAATCAACCAATCAGATTTGAGGGACAAGTTTACAGTTTATGTCAAGTTTAATCTTGCAACCAGGGTTAGATGCTTCTACATCAGTGTTATTCACCAATCATTTCCCTCTGATTTTAGGAATTAGTTAAGGGTAGGGTTAAGATTCGTGTTAGAAATAGCCTAGGATTAGGATTTGTTCACAGTTGGCATGTTTGGTTCGATTAAATCAAACCCTGGTGGGATTGCTCTGTTAGTTCGGTTCATTTGAATAAGTGTGAAGGCGAGAATCCAAACCCTGGTGTGGACCAAAGAAGCGGACCGAGACCCATGTTTTCAGCTTCCAAACAAACTCTGGTGCAGATCAACTGAAATATGAACGCGGACCAAAGACATGTAAAACAAACCAAAAACAAGATGCGACCCTAAAAAGAACAGAATTCTCAAGCATACCTGTATTTTCTTGCCCATCACAGTTTGTCGTGTGTGTCAGGGAGGGATTCCTGCCACTGTTTTGACTCCTTTACACATTTTATAAGCTCTTCACGAGTTGTCAGCTTCATCATATACCATCATATGTTAACACATACAGCGAGAGCCTAGCACACAGCATTGTTTTGGAAGTTCGACAAATTCCTATCGCAAAATATACGTCATAAAAGCCATTTTTTGGTGTTTTGTATCTTAAGGGTTCTGTGTTAAAAATGACCAGTGAACTAAGCGAACCAGGATTTTTTTTAGTCTGGACCAAAGGAACCAAGAGAATACACCATACATTTTCAGACAGGAATGTTGTTCCAGGATCAAGAAAATATGATCCAGGAACATGTCTTACTTGGCAAAATCACGGTGGCCAATAAAAGAGAGAATAGAAAATCAAATCCTCAAGCGGATGCATCACAAACACATCATTTAGGAACATCAAAGCTGTGGATCGTGTAACATTCTGAGAGGAGCGTACGCACCAAACCTTGCGAAGGAAACCTCCATTCTCTCTCTGATTATGTGATTGAAGGCAAGCATGAAAATCTGGCTCTGAGAATGAGGGAGGTAGAGACTTTGCTTCGATTGCGATCATCGTATCATTCGTGCTCCTACAATCTGTTCCCCTTCTTCTGTCTTTCAGTAGTGGCGCCAACCCAGCCCACCCAATTCAGAAACACTCTCCCGCTCTCTCACTTTATGGCGTCATCACTTCCACACGTGTGACCCAAGCATTTGATTTGAACCGGGAGCAGCCGCCCCACCCATGGACTGACCGTATCCCATCACGTTATTGGCACTGTAGAAATTCACTCCTGCCATGTGTTGAGTCATCTGTGAGAGAGACAGCAGAAACTGTTTTTACGGGCAATTAAAAGAAAGTAACGATGGCACGCACATTTGTTGATTTCATTTGTTTCTCCCTCATGTCGTTCCAAACCTGTGGGCTTTTTTTTTCCAGTGGAAGACAAAAGGAGAAAATGTATACTGGTTATTTTTGTCAATACAGTTTCAATTAATAGGGACTAAAGGGACAATTAATAGGGACTGCATCTTCAGAAGCCAAACGACAACTTTGTGTGAGAAATAAAGTAATATATCAATATAATAATAATAAACTTTAGTTGTGTGTAATGTTGCTGTTTGTGTGTAAAAAAGATCGCTAAGACATGCTAAGCGCTGCCAATCATAACACACTGGGCTAGTTAACCAATCACTGCATATTTCGTATTTTGGAAGGAGGAGCTTCATCTAAACTGGGACTAAACAGCACATTCAGGACAGAATGGGAGCTGTAATAATGTAAAATATGTGAAAAATAATGTGTTTTTTAAGATTCAAGCATGAAATCATATTCTAATATACCCCAAAAACAAAATCAAGACTTTGGAAAAGGGTATAGTAGGACCCCTTTAAAATGACAAATGTTTCTTGTTACCAGTGTTTATCATAACAAAAAATACTGGAACATTTAAAAAAATCTAATATTAGGTCAAGTCAAAGAAACCCATAAAAATGTAATAGAACAAGGTCTGGCAGGTCAGTTCAGAACAGGTTAGTTCGCAGGAGTTTGTTATCAATTTTACAGGTTTTCAAGCTTTTCCAGAACGCGTGGAAACCCTTAAAGTTTGGGGAATGGGGACAGTAAGATTTTCTAAATGTTTTTGAAAGAAGTCTCTTATGCTCGCCAAATCTGTATTTATTTGAAAACAATTTTTAATATTTTTAAAAATGTCATTTATTCCTGTGATTTGAAATGGAACAATCTGAAATGGAAAACTTTTGTAACATTTTAAATGTATTTACTGTCACGTTTGATCTTTAAAGCATCCTTGCTGAAAAAAAGTATGCATTTATTATAAAAAAAGTAAAAAAAAAAAAAAAAAATAATAAATAAAAAAAAATAGTGTTGCTATATTCAATTTGTGAATAAATCTTTTGAGTCAGATGTTTTCAATCAGTTTTTGATCTGCTTCACAAAATTGCTCTCAATGATCCATTCACAAATGTGATCGATCCGGTTTGCAAGTTCAACTCAGTGATCCGGTCGCTGCAGTTCCCACTGCTTTGAATGAGAAACATTATCACTGGAAGAACATTATCCGTGAAAAACAACTCTGTTTTGTGTGAGAAACAAATCAAAATGTATCATTTGAAATATGAAGGATTAAAATATAGCACATGAGTCGTTCTGATTTTTTATTTATTTAAATTTTTTTTTGTGTGTATGTGCTTCTTTTTAAGCATGAAAGCTCCAGTCTAATCATGATATCTGAATGGGAAAAAAAAAAAAATCAGTACATTCTCTCAAAAAAAAATGTATTCTTTTGTGTTCTACCGAAGAAAGAAAGTCATACCGGTTTGAAACATCATGAGGGCGAGTAAATGATGGCAGATTTTTTGGTTCACTATCTCTTTATTGTGTGTTCTTGAAGTAACAAACCCAAAACAAACTCGAAAATGGATTTGAGTTGAATGTGCCTAAAATGTTTTGGTCTATCAGTGTGAAAAAAAGCCTGAACCATTTGCTCAGTTTCAAGTCAGCATGGTGATGGTGATTCCAGCGCTTGTTACCTGGCTTATGTTCCACTGCATCTGTTGGGCTCCATATGCCTGCTGAGGAACTGCTGCCATGCTTCCCATCATCCCATTCTGCATTCCTATTATGCCCCCTTGCACGCCTGCCATGTATGGAGGAGCAGCTGGCACTCCGGTCGGCGGCATGACACCTGCCTGTCCCACTATATTCATCTGTGGAGCCATCATAGGCCCCATCATGCCCTGCTGGGCAGCCAGGGCCTGGTATTGGCCATAGCCTGCAGCAGGGACATAGCCCATCTGGGTTGCTCCAATGTACATGCCAGCTAAAACAGAACCATATAAACATGCATAAACAGTACAAAGCAACAGAAAAGAGCCATAGTTTGAGTAAGTAATTTCAAATTTGGCTTCATCCTGAAACTAATCTCACCATGAGTGGCCATGTTTGTTTGTGGCGCTGTACTGCTGTACAGGGACAAGATTGAGTCCTTTGACATCTTCTTTCCACTGTCCTCGCTTTTGGTGGGGGGATCCAGGAACAGGCTGAGGTTTTCGGGCACTGACGCTGCTACCCGTCCAGTGGGCATGGACCCTGAGTTAGACTACAGTGGAAAAAACAAACAAAAAACACTTTAACTATTTGGTTTACCCTCTAAAGATTCATTCAAGATAGTAAAACAAAATTAGGACTGAAGTGAAAACTCAATGAACGTCTTTACCGTGCTCCTGGCGGAGTTTGAGCTGCTGGCGGCAGCAGGCAGAGAGGTGAAGAGGTCAAGGGCGGGGCTAATTTCAGTACTCTGTTTGCCATTGGACACCGGAGCTTGAGGAGCTAGGGCATCTGGAAAAGAGAGTTTCAACATCAAAGGTCTATATTGTGGTTGTACCGATATGTATGATGTGTATTTTAGCATGTTACCTAGCCCTAGCAAGTCATTAACAGACTGTGACTGCTTCTTTGGAGTGTTTTTGAATTGCTGTGGCTCGTCTTTTTTCTGCAAGAAAAACAAACAAAGTCTTGCTCGTGCTTTAATGAAAAAAATAAATAAATAAATAAATAAACATTGTTTTGTTATTTCAAAGGGGTCCTATTATGCTTTTTTACATTTTCATTTATTGTGTATATTGTTGCTGGTTGAACATGAACAAGGTCTGCAAAGTTACAAAGCACAATCGCCATTGAAACACCTCGATTGTAGTCTTGAGTGTTCTTTTGGGAATATACAAATAATATAGTTTAATAATTCCTGCCCAAGGTATAGACAAAAAAGGAGCGAGGCCTGGTTGAGTTGCGATAGTGGTGTATTGAAATTTGCAGTAAGAGGCTTTTCTTATGGTAAGGGACATTTCTGAAACATGCTCAAAGTACTTGACCAATAACAACACACTGATCCAGCTGACCAATAAGAGCACACTGTGCTTTTTGGAAGATGGGGCTTCATAGAGACTGTGTTACTGAAAGACTGGGAAGAAAATATTGTGTTTTGAATTATCAAGCATGAAAACCAATTTTAGTAGACATGAAAAACTAAATTCAGACTATGGAAAAGACCATAATAGATCCCCTTTAACAAAGTTGTTTAATTGTCCATCAATGCATGCCAACCCAGAAGGCTTCATCAGGAATTTCTAATGTCCTCATTATAATGAAAGTGTTTTGCCAATGTTTTCTGTTTTTGAGCATGGGTGTTCAATATAAGGTTGGAACACTCTAGTCCCGTAAAGTCTCTTCAATTAATATTAGCCAAAGACCCATTTGTACTTGTAAAATCAAAACCTGCTATTTTAAAAACTATTAGAAATTCCTGAGAGAATGCTGAGAGGTTTAAAAATGCTAACTCTCTTCTGGGTTTTAGGTCTATAAACTAGTGGTTCTCAACCAGAGGGCCAGGACCCACTACTGAGCCTCAGGAAACTTCCAAGAAAACCTCAAGATGGGTATCACTGAAAAACTATTGTTTTAATTGAGGAACATATAGTTCTTGAAACTTCTCAGATCATTCAATCACAGTTTTAATTTAATTTATCAATACTTCCTGTTTCCATTAATAAAAAATGCTGCTTTGTCTAGAGCAGTTGTATGTTGTACATATATATATATATATATATATATATATATGAAGAGTTCAGATGCAAAAGCCTCTAAATGCCATTTGAAATTTTCTTCTTTAATGATGCTTTTTATCAAACTTGTATATTTAAGTTCAGTAATTTCACTTAAATAACAATTAATAGGTAATGATCATTGCCATTTAATTGAAATTACTGAACTTAAATATACAAGTTTGATAAAAATCGCCATTAAAGAAGAAAATTTCAAATGGCATTTAGAGGCTTTTGCATCTGAACTCTTCATATATATATATATATATATATATATATATATATATATATATATATATACACATACCAGACCCAATATTGGGGAGCATTCAAGTAAAAAAAAGATTGAGAACCACCGTTTAAACAGAACGGCTCAATTGCAGAAACCCACCAGCTTCATCTTTTCAAAAACAACAGGAGCCCCTTTCGTTACAGTCTCACTCTTTTCTTTCTGAAAATGGAAAGGAAATTAACTTTATTCTTTTACAAAAGTTAAACTAACAATAAAACTAAAATGAGAATTGTATAATATCAAAATCTCTGGACTTACCCTAAAGGACTGGATATCAATGCATTTATCCATATATTTCTTCTTATCATATTTGTCACGGATAAAAATCTCAGCAGCTCTGTATCGCGGTGCTAAAGGAAAATTTTAACAGGAGGGGAGAATAATCTTAAACATACATGCACAGTTTTCCACAGACGTGCTAAAGGATACTGGTCTGTCTCTGGGCGCTGGAAGCACTCTGGTAAAAAGGCCTCGTATAGTCGCCGAGCTTTGGTGTTCCCCATCTCCTGAACAGACTGAGCACAAACACATCTATAGATCATGATCAAATCAGAAACAATGCCCTTTCTACTGGAAACCTTGATCCAAACAGATTACCTGTATCTGCTCATGAGTCCACTGGTCCAGGTTTACCGATTTAACTCGTGATATGTGCACGCCAAGATTCCGATGGATTCCCGCACAGCGGATACAAATGAAGATTCCAAGATTCCAGGATGCCCATCTGGGACCTGATGGGCAAAACATAAAAATAAAGACATTAGAGAAATCAAATATTTAATTAGGACCAGTTTTATCTACCTTTTTTAATTCTAAGACTATTAAATTGTATTAATAATTAATATTGAAATGGCAACATTTATTTCATTTATATATATATTTCATAATTTAAAAATAAATAAATAAATAAATATATATATATATATATATATATATATATATATATATGATATAGGCAGTATTTTTTTTTAAAGAAATGTATACTTTTATTCACAAAGAGTGCATTAAAATTGACCAAAAATGACAATAAAGAGTAAAAACATTTATAACGTAAATATTCATAACGTAAAACTTCTATTCATGAAAAAAAATTAAAAAATATATCAGTTTCCACAAAAATATTAATCAGCACAACTGCTTTTGACATCGATGATAAAAATAATAAGATAAAAAAGTTCCTTGAACAGCAAATCAGAAAAACTGTTAAAATAGAATTTCATGAATGTGATAAAATAGATTAAACATTACTGAATGTTTAAAACATTACAATGTTTAAAACATAAATATTACAGTTTTTTTATCAAATAAATGCAGCGGTGGTGATCAAATTTTTGTGAATATATTTATTGAATAACTATAATCATATTTTTATGTATATAATCATTGTAGAACAACTATTTGACGTTAATATTCATTTTTAATAAAGTTATATAATTACAGATTTCATTATACTTTAAAATGCAGGAAATTCATTCTTCCTGTCATTAAAATTCAACTTCCTGTGTATTATTGCAGAAATGGATTGGAATTTTGACACTAATATTCATTTTTATAAAGTTATAAAAAAATCTCATTATGCTTTAAAATGCAGCAAATTCCTCTTCCTGTCATTAAAATTCAACTTCCTGTGGATTATTGTAGAAATGGATTGGAATTTTGACGCTAATATCATTTTTATAAAGTTATACAAGATTTCATGATCCTTTAAAATGCAGCAAATTCCACTTCCTGACATTAAAATTCAACTTCCTGTGGAGTGTGGACAGTTCAATTCAAATGCCACCTCATGAACTGAAATGGAGCCAATTCTTAAAACCAGAATTCATCCCAACCCTCGCTGAAGCAATTTAATGAGTCAGTGAAGAAGAGAATGGACAGACAAACACAGACGGAAGGCTTCAAGAGATAGAGAGGGCTCCTGCTGAGGACTCGGAGTGATATTTACATTCTCTTGCTTGGCATTAGTAAAGAAAATAACAAGCTTCACACACCGCAATCACTAATCCAGTTTGGCCAGTCATGTGGACACGCTGGCACAACGCTGATAACACACACCCACACCAGCCCCTGCAGCATCTGTACTCTTAAATCACACACACAGGCACTCAGTCATGATAAAGCCCACACTACCTGCAACAAAGAACCATGCCTGAAGGTGCATATATGTGTAGTTATCACCATTTTTTCCCTTTTCCTACTTCAAACACATTATGCAACCATACTCCGTTGAGACACAGGCAAAGCTTCAAAGACAACGCCGAAGACAGTCTCCTCTCTGAGCACAAGCACATTTGAAGCAATAAGTAGTTGAAGCAATACCAATTTTGGCCATTAGGTGGCAGCACCATATTAAGTTATTGCTCTGGATGCTCTCCTGATGTGACGTCACAGGATTGTTGTGGCAACATTTCCACTAAATTGCTTAGGATCCTCTGGAACAAGTGCACTGCATTGTGGGACGGTCATACCTGCTGTTTGCAAAGTGCACCTGCTGTGGTTATATATATCTGAGTGGATCTAATTCGACACAAAATTGACAGTCTAACCTTGAGTAAGCATCAGATGACACACCCATGGGCCGCTCGCTGACTGTCTCATGCGTACTGCACAAACAACTGAAAAGCACTTCTGAAAATAACTAGGTTAAGTTATCAGATGATGGTGAGACTGGATTTGACAAAGTTGCCTTGCATTGGATCTTGGCAAGTTGGAAAGAGAATTGTAAAATAATTTAACAAATTAATTTTATAAATTAAAAAATCCATAATGTTTTGTTCTTCTATTAAAAAAAAAATGCAATTTCCAATTTTCAGCATTGATAATAATACATTTTATTGATCACTATAATCAGCATATTATGATTTCTGAAGGATCACATGTGACTGAAGACTAAAGTAATGATGCTGAAAATTCAGTTTTGCAATCACAGGAATAAATTACAATTTAAAATGCAGGTGAGCATCATACACTTTGGTAACATACTTTATCCATGAATACTACTAACAAAATACATTCTGTATTTTTATCTACACATTGTCATAGTTATGTTCATGTTGTCCTAAATATGTTACACTATGTAGTCATAACAGATGAGCTTGATTCACTCAAAAGAATAGACTCTGAGTCATTCAAACACTCAAAATAATATTTTTTTTAATAATTAAAAATAATTTAATAATAATTTCCCTCATTACAAACTCTTCAGGTCCTACCCCTTTCTCTATTTTTTCATTTAGTTATACAAAACAATTTGACTCTTCTCTATTTTTTCATTTACTTATACAAAACAATTTGACTCTTCTCTTATACTTTGTACATACGTCTTTACATAGACTGTATTTCAACTTACCTAGTTCACATAAACCCATACATTCACATAGAAACAAATGCATACCATGCATGCAATACTGTAATATTGTAACATACTATCACCTCGAGGCCTTTTTATCACCTCGATTCATTCAGGAGTCAGACTACACTGGTCATGCTGTATGGTTTTGATTCACTCAAAAGACCATTAGTACCAAGTAAACGTGTTCACACAACATATTTATTTATTTTAGTGTGCTATTATTATCTGAGCAATTTCAGATTCACTCACCCCTAAAAACCCTTTTCCTGTGTAAGTGGGCGAACGTAGAAATATGGAAATCAATGGCTAGGCTAGACAAGACCATCTAACCTGGTTTGCTTTAAATATTTCTCTGTACCAAAAAAGCGCAGAAAGCCTAAATTCAATCATGAAATCTGAAATCTAATATTTATTCAACTATAAATGCGTTGATTTGGCCCTTAATGGAGCACCAGGGCTTCGGTTCACTTCTGCACTATGCACACGGTCACACTCACATCTGAGATCTGGCATGGACTCTAATGTGAGATGGCCCCGTGCCAGAGGAAAGGGATATTCCCAACGGGATGCACGTTGATTCACTGCAGCTGTATAAAACACCATTTTCATGAGCTCTTCTGTGCTGCAGGCCTCTTTAGATTACTCATTCATCCCCCACCTACAAATATCCCTCCTCTCTCTCTCTCTCTCTCTCGGTTTCCGCATGGCTAAGGGGTAATCAGCTTGCGAGGTATTACTGGAGGACGTCAGCTCAGGCACAGGGAGAGAGAGGGTGTTTGCATGTGGGATGGAGAACATGTGAGTCTGTAATAAACAGTCATGTGGAGTCAGGCAGGTTTCAGGGTGAATCACAAAAGAGATACAGAACAGGACGGAGAGATTCACACATGCTGTTCACACTTGTTAACCTATTAGAGAGAAGCAACAGTGAGAGCCGGAGAAAGGACACACGCCATTGCCAAGCCACCTGTTTATTAGCGGTAGCCTACTTGTTGCTAAGCCAAAAATCACCATGCTCATACTTAGGCATTTGAACCCGGTCAGTGACTCCTGCACTGTTTTTATACATTTATTTTTACATTTATTCATTTAGCTGACGCTTTTATCCAAAGCGACTTGCAATTGCTAAATATGTCAGAGGTCGCATGCCTCTGGAGCAACTAGGGGTTAAGTGTCTTGCTCAGGGACACATTGGTGTCTCCCAGTGGATTCAAACCCGGGTCTCTCACACCAAAGGCATGTGTCTTATCCACTGCGCCATCACCAACCCGGGTAGATGTTGAAACAATGGAAAAACATCCCATTTATATATATATATATATATATATATATATATATATATGTGTGTGTGTGTGTGTGTGTGTGTGTGAAAAAGAGGGAAATCACTTTTGGGGAAAAACAAACAAGATGGCATGATGGTCCAGGAAGAATAAAAGAGAGCTTTGCTGTGTTGTTGTTGATCACGTACATGGTCTTTTATGCTTTGCAAATAAAAATTTAAGGTATTTATTTTTTTATTTTTTGGTAGACAACAGTCAAGTGGAATTGAGCGTCACGGATCAATAACAACTCAAGTGGAATTGAGCGTCACAGATCAATATTTACTTGAACTGACCACTGTCACAACTAAGGATGCACCGATATGAAAATGTTGGTTGATAACGATAAATCTTAGCCGGTAACCGCTATATCGGCCAATAAAGATAAATATGAGATAAATAATTTATGTGTATACATACATACATATATATATATATATATATATATATATATATATATATATGATCCATAATTGTGCTAAAACACATCCATACAACAAAATTCACAACATTCTTTTACAGTAGTGTTACAATAATATAATATAAATGTAGCAATTTGACACTTGCACGGCACATGTTGCACTTAACTCCTGTATCATGGCGAACAGCGTGCATCTGAAGTGTCTCAGCTTAAAAAAATTAACCATTTATCGGCTCTAATAATATATTGGCCAAATTTTCTTATCTTCTCAATAACGATAACATTACAAATGAACATATATCAACCATCACTGATATGGTGGCCAATATATGCATCATAAAAATACTTTATACTTGTATATATTTATGAATATAATAATATAAAGTTAATGAGTGAAAATATCAAAAATATTATAAATACATATATACGTTTATATATTTATAAATGTAAAATCATTTTATACTATATTTATGGGATAAATATATAAATGATATACTATACAAAAATGATATCCCATATAAATGCATTAAAACAAAAAATATATATTTTATATTTATATGTTTAATACAAATTTTATACATTTAAATTATATATAATGTACACATTAATATGAAAACTTTGGGGTTGGCAAAAAAATGT